TTTGTTTCCTTATTTTTGTAAGGTGTATTTTCTCTAAGGTAGGGATTCCTTTTTTTTTTTTGTGACGTAGAAGATTAATGTTTTTCAGAAAGAAATGCATTTGGAAGGGTGGGTAGGACTTGCATAGACGGAGGTGGTCTTGGGGAGGATGCTTCCGAGGAGGAGGTACAGCCATAAACTGGGACACGCTTTCTGAATGACGAATGGCCGGAGCGACCAGGCCGTGGAAGCTGGGAGGTGTACAGCTGAGCAGGTGGTGAGTAGGACAGCGAAGCTAAGGAAGATCCTGTCCTTAAGTGGGGAGAGAATGGGGAGCCAGTGAGGGGTCTTGGAGGGGACACTTAGAACCCAGAGGGGCCCTTCAGCACCTATAAGAAGAGGAAGCAGGGCCATCGAGAAGGTTTTGGCTGGGGTGGAAAGCCTCCCTTCCTCCTCTGCCTCCCGGCTGGAACTGTTGCACATGTTGCATATATTCTGCGCAACAGCAACAATAAAAGTGATTATTTTTAATTTCTGTTCTTCTCCTCTGTAATAGAGCTATTAGACTTTGGCAGATCCCTTAATATGATTATCGTTTTTGAATGATTTCGAATTGAAATGTTTGCACTGATGGTGGTAGCTGCAGCTGAGTCTGGGGAGCAAGGCAGTAGGCGCACGTCCCAGGATCCCGAGGCACCGTCAGCCGGAGCGGGCACCCCTGCGCGGGTGGCAGGGAGACTGGGGGGGAGCAAGCTTGGCCAAGGATGGTGTCTGGCCAGCCCTGCCCGCAGCATGGCGGCTCCCAGGTTGGGGCTGGGAGATGGTGTTCTGCTGGACACCCACTCCTCCCTGTGCAGAAAGACAGCTGCTCATCAGCAGTCCCACTGGAGAGTTCCAGAATTCAGAGCAGTTGTCCCACTGACCTCACGAGAAATGCTGGCTGGCCCTAGCCGTGGGTGGGGACACGTGTTTCATTCTTCAGTCTCCACGTTCCCCAGTTCCACAGAAGCCACCTGCTGGGAGCCCTGAACCCCTCCCAGCGCGGTGTGGCAGGTCTCGGAGCCCTGCTCCTGTAGCGCGGGAGCCTTGGCCTCCCTAGTGACAGCAGCAAGGCCACCTCCTGGGGGCTGATCTCCAGGCTGGTCCCAGCCTCCCTCTTCCACTGTCCCTGTCTGGTGCCACCTCACTAGAGAGCCAAGATGTGGAATGCTGTACACCGTGGCAGGTTTTTTCCCCCGTGGCCTTTAGGGGACCTTTTCACAGGCCAGCTCCGACAGTAAGGGTCACGTGTCTGTTCCACGTCTCCATCTCCTCAGGACCAGCCACCCACCCTTCACCTTCAGCTTCTGAGGGCCTGCCCCGGATGTGCCCTGAGGCCTGCTCTACGGGGTCTCCCATGGGCCCTGGTGCCAGCTGGCCTGCTTTCAATGAGGAGACCCTTGGAGACCTCTCAGTCCTGTCGTGAGGCTTCCTAGGGCTCATGGTAGGGCACCTGGTTGAACATGCTGACCAGAGCTGTGGCTGGCAGAGAGGGGACCCAGGGCAAATCCTACTGTGAATTCTTCTCTCCTCGCCACTGCCGGTGAAAAGTATTCAGATGAAGCCGGTTATACTAAATATCACACTGCTTGACAGGGAAAGATGTTTCCCGAAGGGCAGTCCAAGAGGGAGCTGGAAGTAAAAGCAGCCTGTCTACACTCCTCAACAGTCCAAGTTTCCTGCTTTGAAGCCCATCCCCCCTTCCTCTTCAACCCTCCTCCATGTCCTCCTCATCCTCCCTCACCTCCTCCTCCATTCCTCACCCCTCCTGGTCAGCCCTAGCTACAGCACGCTTCCTTGCTGTCCCTGGGTTCCGGTCCAGTTCAGCTGGTGTGCCCTGAGACCTCACAGAGCCCAGCCCCGCAGGGACAGTCACCCAGCTGTGTTCTATTTATTCCTTTGTTCAGCAGCAGCCGACGGCTGCCGGCTCTGTGCCAGCGAGGGAGGCACTAGCTCCTGGGAACCAACACGAAGCCAGGGGGATAACTTCTCTGCCCTCGGGGACCTGACCGGTGGAGGGACAGATGGCTCGGCAGGATGGAGCTGTTGCAACAGACCCAAGCTCCTGCGTCCCATCTCTGGAGACCTGTTTCCATGATTCTGGGTCACACTCAGGGCTCTGCATTTTCTAAAAGCCATCCTGGCGATGGTAGTGCAGGTGGGTGGTGCAGGAGAAGCACCCCTTCATCCAAAGCCAGCCCATGGAGAGTGCTTGTTGCCTGACAGTGCCGTCTGATTTCAGCAGCCTTGCTTGCCCTGGAGGCGCTAGGAAGTACAGCACGTTGGGGCAGGATCTTAGTCATGTGCCTATGGTGATGTTGGGAATTGCTGGATGCTAAGCGTAGGCTTTGGGGAGATCGTTCTAGCTTACCAGAATTTCTTGATGCGCTCAGCATGCCCTCAAGGAAACTGAGGTGTTCTGGTGCTGCCTTCTGTTCCCCATCCTCTACAGATCCCTGCACCTCCCATGCCCAAGAAGCTGGCATTTCTCTATCACTTGGGTGGACTTTGGTGCTTAGCTCCCCCAGAATGACTCTTCGCTGCAGTTTGCTCTCCTGGCTGCATGATAACACATCCTTTCTCACCCCCATGATCATACCTAGGAGAAGATAACGTGTTCTCATCACTGCTGGGTGGCGAAAAACAGAAACCTATTCAGAGCGTGAGTCAAGGAGATAAGAGCCCAAGGACTCGGGGGACCTCTCGCGTGACCCAGGGACAGAGAACAGAGCTGGGCTTGTCAGCTGATGGGAGGCCAAAGCCACCAGGCAGTCTCTCGCCAAGGCCTCATTCCTCCCCTGTTCATCTGCTTCCTTCCTCTGCACAATCACACATGTGTACACGGGGACCAGTGCAGGTGCCTCAAAATGGTGCCCTGAGTCCTGAAGATGAATGAGACCATGTGGTTCTTACTTCCAGCATCCCCCTAATCCCAACTCTGAGTTTTAGGAAAAACATGATTCGGTTGACCCAGTTTGAGTTTGGTGCTCATTCCTGGCTCAGTTAACTGAGCCTGGGGGTCGGGGATGGGCTCACATGATTTCTGGGGAAATCATTGCAGAAGGGCCTCACGATGAGAGGGCAGAGGAGTGGTATTCATCGGGTCCCTCCTCTGTGCACGTTGCATCTCTTTACAAAGCAATACTCTGTAGGGACTTACCTGGGATCCTGAGCATTCCATTAATATCACACAAGTATGGTTCTCAGTGGCAACACCGACATTCAAACTACCCTGATGAACTCTGAGCACTGATTTTTCCGGTGTGCCTCTCTGCTGCCCTGCCACATGGGTACCAAGAGGTGTTCCATGGAATCAGAAATCTGGACCTTCAGGTGAAACTCAAGCTCAAAGTCAAGAGCAAATGAGCCTCTGACATTGAGGTTTATGGTTCAGCTCAAGAAAATTTCACCTAATGAACAGCTTCCTGGTGGCCCCAGGGGAGTTTCACTGGCCTTCCTGTCTCTTTTCCTCTGGAAAGCATTAACAGTGTTTGTGGCTTGTGGCAGCCTGGCTTTTGCCTGGTCCTCCACAAAGTCTTTTCTGGAGAGCACAGTGAGCTCTCCCTCACTAGAAATGCATGCTTTTCTGCTTCCTGTGGAATTGCAGTGAACGTGGTGGATTAATACCATATTTCCATCTTCTGCACATACATCCTTGATGCTTTGCTTCAGATGGTTTTTGCCTCTGATTTGCATTGAGCCAGCTTATGCCTACAGCCCACTCTAGAAGAAATCATCAAGGAGATAAATATATTAAAAAATAAAGTGCAGGGGCAGCTCAGGTGGCTCAGCGGTATAGCGCCGCCTTTAGCCCAAGACGTGATCCTGGAGACCCTGGATCCAGTCCTACGTTGGGCTCCTGGCATGGAGCCTGCTTCTCCCTCTGCCTGTGTCTCTGCCTCTCTCTCTCTCTCTCTCTCTCTCTCTCTCTCTCTCTGTGTGTGTGTGTGTGTGTGTCTCATGAATAAATAAATAAAATCTTTTAAAAAAAGTGCAAATCTTTGTTTCCAGACTTTATGGTCATAGGCCACCCTGCCGATACTTTTCATATTTCCTACTGGGCACCCTTCCAGCAGGCTGAGGTGGTCTCCCCTGGCACCGATGGTCTCCTGGATAAGTCTTCTCCCTCTTGGTCCTTACCTCTGAGCTTCTCTGCGATTGCCCAGGGGCGCTCATCCTGTCACGCAGCTGTTGCCAGAGCTGCCACAGGAACCGTTCCTATGTTTGCAGACCCCATGTGTGTATGAGAACATCCTGTGTAAGCTTTCCAGAAGCCGGGTTGCCACTAGATGTTTTGGGTATCCTAATTGGTCTGAAGCTAAAACAGAGCTTTAGGGAGAAAGGGAGTATGAGAATTGAGGACTTCAGGGAAGTTTCTTGATTTGCCAGAGTGAAATCCAACACCTGTTGTGACATTGCCTGCAGAGAGACTTCTGGTACTATCACCTTAGTGGCTTTAGCTTCTCCCTTTTTAAAAAAATTAAGATTTAATTGACATGTAACATTGGGTTAGGTGTACAACACGTTGACTTGATACATTGATATATGGCAGTATGATCACCACCATAGCATTAGCCTGTGTCTCCTTCACGTCACATAATTATCTTTCACTTTGTAGTGAAAACATTTGAGATCTAGTCTCGTAGTATGTGGTGCAGGTATTCTTGACTATAATCACAGTGCTGTGCCCTCAATCTCCAGAATGTATTCATCTTCAAACTGCAAGTGTAGAGCCTTTTGGCCAGCATCTCCCCAATTCCCCCTTCTAACTAACCACCATTCTACTCTGTTTCTATGAGTTCAACCTTTTTAGATTCCATATATAAGTGAGAACATAGAATATTTTCCTTTCTCTGTCTGACTTACCTCACTTAGCCCAACACCTGCAAGGCTCTCCTGTTGCAAATGTTAGGATTTCCTTCTTTCTCTCGGCCGAACAATACACCTATCAGCTGACTGTAACTTCTTTCTCTCTCCCGCAGGACTCCAGCCATGATTGGCTGCTCCTTTGTGGTCAACAGGAAGTTCTTTGGTGAAATCGGTCTTCTCGACCCTGGAATGGATGTGTATGGGGGAGAAAATATCGAACTTGGAATCAAGGTTTGTGCGTGGCATCCTTTCCCCCTGGTTTATTTATGTTTGTGAGCAGAGCTGTTGGTCACCCTGAATGTGTATTTAAAGCTTCTTTGGCTGGTAAATGGCAGAGGCATTCACCCAGCCTCGCTCTTGAGGATGTGCCAGCAGGGTTGTACCCTCTTTGTGTGTGTGGGGGGGGCGGTCCCTGGGCTTTCCTTTCTTCAAAGATTGAACAATGTGTTTCATGCTTTGGTGACCCAATTTAGACATGACCAGAGAGTTTGGTTCCCGCTTCCATCCAGTTTTAATTCTTCCCTTAAGTTTTTCTTGAAATTAGATGATCTCCTCAATGAGTACTTCTATCTCATGCATTTTGACAATTCATGTGCACCAGAGAACCATCAGATGCCAGAATATGCCAGAAGAGAGGGGGACCATGTTCTGTGGGACCTTTCCTTTCCTTAGAAATGTTTCTAAGGAGGGTGGGGGGGGGAGAGGAATGATAAGATGCAGAATGGGCCTCTTGCTGGACCCAGCCCAGATCAACCTCACTGTTAGGTATCTTGTTATATACAGTTGACGTTTAACACAAGTTTGAACTACACAGGTTCCCTTATATGCAGACTTTTTCGATAAATACAGTATAATATTGTAAATGTATTTCTCTGCCTTATGGTCTTTTTAATTACAATTTTTCCTCTAGCTTCCTTTATCGTGAGAATACAGGATATGATACACATAACACACAAAATACGTGTTAATCTGCTGTTGAAGGTATCAGTAAGGCTTCTGGTCAGCAGTGGGCTATGAGCAGTTAAGTTTCTGGAGAGTCAAGGGTTTATTTATGGAGTTTTAACTGCACGCAGGTGGTCAGTGCCCTAAACTCCCGCGTTGTTCAGGGGTCAGTTGTACTGTGTTTTGCTTAAGATTTTGTTTGAAAAAAAATGAATCCCAGTGTAGAAAAAATGCAAGTTGGCCACATTGATGCATTCCAACCTCTTTGTTTTAGAGTTAAGATAAACGAACCCCAGCCAGGAGCTGGGGTGGGTGCTCCTTGAGGACACGGTGACCACTTAACTCCATGTCTTCATCCATGCCACAGAGGAGGTAGTGGGGGCACCCCCAGCTGGGGCCTCTGTGTCCACTGCCCTTTGTCCCGAACCTTTGCATACCTGAACCCCTGGGAAGCAGGCTTGTTGGCAACAGCTCAGAAAACAATTGTAAGGTTTAACATTTACTGAATTTCTTTTGCATCCCTCTACCACACTCACTTTCATTCTACTGGGCAGACACCGGGACGGATCGCCCACCCCAGTCAAAGCCTGCTTTTTGCATCTGATCTCTCTTGTTTATCCCTAACTGCTCAGTACCTCCCATCAGCCCCACATCTACCCTTCATCACCCTTAGTGGAATGAAAGGCGGCGTGCCCTCATGATGTCATGTCCTTCTGGGCCGCAGGACTGAAAGGGGATGGTGAGGACTTTCCCTGCCTCCTGAAATCACTCCCTTTTGACGATTGCAGGCTCTTCCTGTGCTTTCCATGTCAGGCTGGGTTCTTTGCTCGATGGAATTTGTATAGAATTTCTTTGTAAAGCCCTGAAATTAAAAAGCCCATGAATAAGTGATTATAGTGAATATACTTGTCATTCATCCATTTGGAGTTTAACTGAAGAAAAAGATCTGGGCCCAGCATGTTGAACTGGGCCTATAACTTAGACCTCTAACCTTCCTCCGGCCCTTCTCATTTCTCTTTGTGTTGTTCTGCTGCCCCCCCCCCTTTTTTTTGAGTTCTCACTGACCTCTGGCATGCCCTAGAACTTACTTATTTATTATGAGTATTGTTTTTCTCTACCTTGCCCTCACTAGATTACAAGCTTTATGGGACCCAGATCTTTGTCGGGCTCACCTTTGTGTCCCAAGCATTAGAACCATGCTCGGCATGTGGCTCAGTAGGAGCCTGTTAGATTAAGGCCGGAATGAAGGTCTGTTAGGAGTCTGTGATAACTTGTTCCAGGTACTTATATGTGAAAGAGATGAGCTGATAGAAGCCCTACATTGAAAGAGTTAAGCTTTTTATTTTTATTTTTGAGATAAGAGAGATTTGGATGTCTCTAAATGCTGATAGAAGGAAGTCCATGAAGAGTAAGATGTCGCCAACAGAGGGGAGAACCAGATGGTGGGTGGAGCACTGCCCCTGTGGAGCTAGGGACACAGGTAGAGGGGTTATGGGGACAGGGGAGATGCCCATATTTGATTGCCATTGCCCACTGCATTCTGGGGAACACAGGCTGCGACAGCAGAATTCAGTGCTACGACTGGGGAAGACTCTTTTGGACTACCCACACTTGGAAAAGCATTTGCTTTGCACTAACTTGGACCTTGCAAAGGTCTGTGGGGGGTCCTCTGCCCCCCAGGCTCAGTGGTGATGATGGTGACAGTGCTGTGTGGCTGGCCCCACCCATGAAGGGGGCAGGGGGCTTGGCCATTTCCACCTTGAAGCACAGCCAGCGCACCACAGCCGGGGTCGCACCAGCTCGGGGCCCGGTGAGTTCTACTCCACTGCTCCTTGTGAACAGGCTGGAGTAACAGTCCACGGAGCCGGCTCCCAGCCTTAGCTGTACTTCAGTCCAGCTCCTGGCTGCTCTCTGCACGCCTTTTGAAAGCTTCACATGGATTAGCGCACAGATGCCACCCTCCAGTGCGATTACCCGCCTCTTACTGTATACTCAGGCATATCCAGTGTCCCACTGGAGACGTGGGACTGTTCGTGCCTTATTTCCCATTGATCATGTGGTCCTGTGAGTTATCAGCCGACTCTGGAGAAGCCTTGGTTTTCTGTCAGGGCTTAAAGCAAGAGGTGAGTGCTGTGGGGTCATCAAGGCCACAGCCTGCATTGAGGGTCCCTGTAGCTGCCGTACACACGCACTGTTCTTTGGTTCACACGGTGTGGTCCCTGACCAGCAGCACTGACTTCATCTGGGAGCTTATTACACATGCGGATTCTCGGGCCCCATTTCATTCCTGCTGAGTCAGATGCTCTGGGGTGCATTTCAGCAAACCTGTATTTTAACAAGCTTCCCCGGTGATTCTGTTTCACACCGTGACCTAGCCCGCTTCTTGGCAAATACCTACCTTTCCTCAGAAAGGAGCTCAGATGAGGATCCACATCTTTCAAGGCCTTCTTCTTGGTGGCCCTCACAGCCACCGCAGCCCCACAGGGAGCCCTTCCTCCTCCCCCGCCATCCCGCACGGCCTGGGCCCTCTTGGGTACCAGCCCGTGAAGGTACCAGGCAGGTGTTTGGACCAAGCAACTATGGGGTTTCTGATTACATGAAGTAATCTGTTTTACAAACTATATTCATTATCTTTCATTCTGTGCTATGTTATGCTGCTCAGAACACAAATTACGTGAATAGTAAATACATTGTTAAGAAAGCCATTCCTATTGCTTGAAAAAAAATCAGAGCTTTGTTTGATATACACACACACACACACACACACATATACAGTTATACAAATGAACCTGCAAGAAATGACACAAAATCGGGGCGCCAGGGTCGCTCAGTCAGTTAAGCATCTGCCTTTGGCTCAGGGCGTGATCCCAGGGTCCTGGAGTCGAGTCCTGCATCAGGGTCTCCCTCTGCCTATGTCTCTGCCTCTCTCTTTACATCTCTCATGAATAAATAAATAAAATATTTTAAAAATAAAAATAAACAAATATAATCCTTTAAAAAAGAGAAATGACGCAGAATCGTATGCTTTAGTTAAGTAGGAAAGTTTTGATATGAGAACATTCCTTTGTGATTTTTTTCACCAAGAAATAGGTCCATCTGCAATCTTTCTGACTCTTCTTTGACATTTTTTATTACTTTTGATTTCCATCCTCAGGAAGGGTAGATGTATCACAAGAATAAAAGTACAAAGTCCTACTATGGTTCAGGAGAAAAAAACACCAGCAGGGTTGATTCTTGGGCTGTTGTTTAGGTGAAAGGCAGCTTGCCCGTGACCAAAGCAATTGATACAGGAAAGGGAAAAAAAATCTTTTTAGGACCCAGAAAATAAATGAGATTAGAAATGAAAGATTTCATCTTGTACTGAGTAACATTAATCAGAAACTATTAACAAGGCATATTATTGTAACATGTCTAAATGGTAAGAGAGAAAAAATTCTCCAAGGACAGAAGACCAGATGGATTACTTTTAAGTGGTGTAAAATCAGATGGCCTCAGATTTCTCTAATATATCAGACTTCTCTGGGAAGAAGAGGCACTATCTTATTCTGAAGCCTTATAAAAAAGGGTGGCACACAAGTCTACTGAATCCTGTTGGGCAGCCATTCCCAAAGAAGGACAAGAGAAGGACTGTACCAGATCCTCAGACTCTCAGAAAGTATCTTTGCTTGATCAGGACCCCAAGGACTGTGTGTGTGTACATTTTGGTAAGTATTTGTGAACCAGTGATTCATGATGCAGGTCAGTAAACTAGAGGGTATGGGAAGGCACAGGGGTGATGGAGCCCCAGGGGCTTCCCCCTGGTGAAGCCTTTACAGGAGGCTCAGCAACAGTCATGGCTAAGAATCAGACTCACGTCATGGTGAGCAATGGGCAGAGGATATGTATATTTTAGTTTGCTCGGAGTGATAGTGATGTTCTTAAATAGCAGAGTCTGATTTGGCTGCCACAGCTGCTGGCTGCATGGTGCATGGTGTCTCTGGGGCCATGTCATTTTCCTAAGGGATTGGGATGCCATTCTCATGACCCAAGTGGGCCCAAGGGTGGCATCCCTGCCATCTGGCCCAGCCCAGTCCACTTGAGTTCAAGACTCTGAAGACCTGCAGGGTTACCCACAGGTGCTGGTCTTCATGGTTCCTGAGCCAGTTAGGGTAACAACAGCAGCAGATTTGAAGGACTGCCCCCTTCAAAGGGTCATTTGGAAATTATAGGCTGTCTGGAGTGGCCAAAACCCCAGACCCCCAAAGGTATTCCACTTACACTGGTCTCTTGCTCACAGTTTTGCTTCCCAC